TTCGGCGATCGGACACGAGAACCATTCGGTTTTGTCTCTGTGAATAGTAACTGCGAAACTAGATGATTCTCTGTGTCCGATATTCGCACGTAATAATTTCTCTGGATTTTAATATCACATGAGGGTTTTTTTTTGTTAGCATAGCACAAGAAATTTTTTTCTTCTAAATTAGTATTTTATTTAGTGCTGTAGTATTGATTATATTGATGGTTATTGACGTTGTAAAATTAAAAAAAAAGGCGAAATAATAGTAGAAATTATTTCATATTGTTCTGAAGGAGGTAGGAAAGTGTTCAAGTGATTTGAACATCAAGGAAGAACTGAAGTCACTGGAAGAGCACAGAAAGCTAATGGAAGAGAATCCTGAGATTCAGCTAACTGAAGAAACAAAGAAGCTTAGGCAGGCTTGCTTCAAGGCAAATTACAAAAGGAGAGTAGCAATGCAACGCCCCTTCTTGCAGCCCATACAAAGGATTTCCTTTCGTTAATATATATACAATTTTAGAAGAGGAAAAATCTTCTTTGAGTTTCTATAGACATGTAAAAATTAGTAAGAATTTGATGTCTCCAAGCTAGCTTTAATCACATAGGATTTGAAAGTTCCTTCTCATTTTTGTTTATTCTGAAATAGTAACGTGCATCTGGAAATTTATTTCATTTAGGAGTTAATTAGTGCGTGTTATTACTATAATAATTAATCAATTAATACTTAATTGATTATTAGTGTTTGAAATTATATTATTCACATTATTTAAATATTTGACTAAATATTAAATGAAGGTAATGCTATTAAAAATTTAAAAAAAAATGAATTAAAGTCAAATTATTAACCTAAAAGTTAAGTTTTAGAGTATTTAGTCACTTCCTTCTCTTTCTTTAGGCCTCATGAAAGTTTTTACTCTTCTTAACACCATATATAACAACAACAATAATATTCCCAGTGTCTCATGAGCATTTATCTGATATCTTTTCCCTCCAGGCATTCAGAAACCATGCATTCACTAGTTGAGAATGGTTGTAGTTGGAGTACATCTCTATGAATCTTGTCTGGTTTGTTATACAGTATAACTTAATGGAATCCCCTAGCTCTTTCATGTATCTTTAGATAATCCCCTAGCTGTTTCATGTATCTTTAGATATCTTGTGTCCTGAAATATTCTTGGCGTTAGAGTGATATAACGTTTAGCATTCTAATTTTATACGAAGATCCAACACATAGACATATATATATAGAAGAGTAGGGTATAGCATTCATAAAAGACATCAAGATTTTTACGTGGAAAATCTTGAAAAGAGGAAAATCCATTGGTTATGGCATAGTTGAAATTATTACAAAAATACTGATGGTTGATTATAAATGAAGCCCTAGACATTGATTTACTATATATATAACACATAGTTGGAGAATGGCATGATAATTACTCTGAAGACAATGTTGACATGTTCGTTAATTTGATCAAATTTGATGATGTATATATCAATGAAGGAGATTGAAGGCTTAGGGACCTAAACCATATAATTCTATATTTTTCAATCCTTTTTTCGGCCATTAAAAAAAATTAGAACAAATGGTAGTTTTAAAAACTGAAAAATAGTTTTTCCACGTTCCGCCTTTTTGAAGGGATATTTGGATCACATTTTAACACGTTCAAAAAAATTATGTGGTTATATTTTATAAGAAACTAACATTTTTCCACTTGGTCCAAATATTCCCTTTATTGCAATTACAAGAAATATAATTCTTGTTATCTTGTATCATGACGATATATCCTTAAGAGTGAGTGAGTATTACTCCATGTATCACAATAAATATATCTTTATACATCTACCCATATAACTTAACGAATTAACATCTTGTTTATTTCTTTAATATTGATGCTTACCATGTCAATGAATATGTATATTGATACATACCAAAAAAATCGTCTTGATCTAACATGAATTTTCATTAAAAGTGGAAACTTTCAAAATTAAATGTGGGATCATCCAAACTCTAATTTCAGCAAACTTACAATCAAATTGAATGTCTAATTAATGAGAAGAATCCAATGACACTTAAATCGATTCAATCTGATCCCAAATGGATTCAAATCAAGGGACAAAAACATATAATTGAAAGATTCAAACCATTAATTGGATGTTGGATGATATTCAAATATGACATGCTCATAGTCGAATCAAGTGGATCGACGAGACAAATTCAAATAGCCCAAGATAGCTTAATTCTGACATCATTAACGTACTTAAATGCTTGACAAATGCTCTATGATTGAGGGGATCAATATGGGCCGTTCGATGGAGCATTCCAAATTTGCCCTAGGTCTTCTCCATATTTATGGGTCATGTCATTCTAAATAATCTATAAATAGATCCCCAATTCCCACATGAAAAGGGGGCTTGGAACTTTAGCTGAATTTTGAAGAGAGCTCCGGAGATTCAAGGATCCAAGAGTTATACTGATGTACCATTGACGGTGAACTTCTATGGACCTACGTCAGACCATTGCCAGAAAACCACTCTGCCGCAGATCTCCGCAGAACTTTCGCCTAGCATCCGACCACCGTCGGACAATTGCCTAGCCTCCAATCTCTGGTAGATGTTAGCCAGACCATCGTTGGACCACTGCTCGGCCGTCAATTGCTGCCAGATTTTCGCCCGATCATCCGACCATCGTCCGATCGCCGACCAACGCCTGATCGCCAACAGCCGTCAGACTTCCGCCATATCATCATCCGACCATTGTCGGGCCACCTAACCACCGTCGGACCTCCTTCAATGGTCTTCAGACTATTGCCCATCCTTCAATCACCGCCAGACTTTCGCTCGGCCATTGACCACTATCGCTCACAAACTATGGTCAGTTTGACCATTGTCGCCCGCGACTACGTTTCTTCCGACTGGTGCCCTTCGACTATGGTCTATCTAACTACCATCGCCGACATACTAAGGTCCACTCCAACCTCTGTTTTTGACCAACTACATTTCCTCCAACCTCCATCGCCTGCCGACTACAGTCCCTTCGACCTTTGTTGCTTGCCGACTACGATCTCTCTACCCTCCATTGCCTGGTGAATACAATTCATGTGACCCCATCGCCTACCAACTATAATCCCGGCCCGTTGACCTCCAACTATGTTCCCTCCGGCCACTATCGCTCTACTATGGTCAAACCAACCAAACGAGCATGCCAATACTCTCCTGAGAACAACTCTCATGTTTTGATATTCTTCCAACTCCAATTATGTTGTATGCTTTATATAATGTATATTTGTTACATTAAGTCAATGTCTTCCCTTAATGAGGGGCATCACGTGTAACCAACAACAAATACCAATGGATTCTTTTCAACTGGAAAAGCCTCGTGATTTTTCCTTCTTTTTAGGGATTTTCATATAAAAATTCTAGTGTTTCCTATGAATATTGTGCCCCTCTTTTATCTATATGTATGCTAGATCTTCATACAAATCTAGAACGCTAAACTCCATATCTCTCTACCGACGTGATCAATAACCATACGATCAACATGATCTCTAAACATATGTAGCTACATGTCTTTAATCTAACGACCAGCTTTCATCAATTCAATGCTTACATGCTCAATGATTACTCCATTCTCCTTGTTAAGTTCTCTAATGGCTAAGTACTTAATGTTGAATACCATTCTCAATGCCCTCCGACTGGCCCCTCTCTTTTATCTGTCACATTGTGGTTAAGTGATGCACAGTACGTAGTGAGGATTGTAGTAATATAAGATATATGTTGATTAACAATGTAAATTGATTTATCCCCTGATGTTGAGTACTCACACACAAGGTCATAGGTGTACCCATACCCACCTAGGTATATAGGTAGGGGTGGGTATGGGTACCCAATGCATGGCTCTGTTCAAAACACAACTCCATTGACAATCTAGCACTAACTATACTTAAAAAAATTCATGTTTAGGTTGACCCGATTAAATTTTGGGTCAAGTTTGCGTCTCAAATTTTGTCCCAATTAAATATTGATTTCATGTTGACCCGAAATCCCAAATTGACTAGAAATTAACTTGATAACTAACCAAAATTGATTTAATTGGTCAAGTTTGCATTAAAAGGATTTTATTCAAATCAAGCGAGTCATGTTCAAGTTAAACAGATCGTGTTGATCGGAAAAATGCAGTCCATATAATAAACAAATTAAATATGTCAAGTTCGGGTAAGACAGGCTTAGGTCCGATCGAGCTCTTGTCAAAAATTTTAACCCATATAATAAATATGTTGGATTCAGGATAAATATATTCAAATAGGTCAATTTTGAATTATACCCTAAACACTTCAAAATATTTTATTTAACTTATTTATTATTTTTCAAAAAATAAAAATAAATAAACTATCATCCATACACACACATATATATATATAATTGCATTTTCCCAGAAAATTCTGAGAATCGGCATTGCATGAAATGCTTAATTTATAGAAATTTCTTCAAAAAAGCTTCATTATCTTTCAAAGAATTCTACATTTTCTAATTAAAAAACTCTCTTAATTAAATTTCATTAGGATGTCCACATGGGAAAATGGCGGCCTGGCTCCTTGTGATCAATCAACAATAACTGCAAATATTAAATAATTAGCCAAAGAGGAGGGAATGGAACTTCCATTATCATTAATCACCTATAATTAAAAGTAATTAACAGCCACTCTCTAATCTCGATCACACAGACTATGATATTCTTTGAATCTATCCATATCACTGATCCGCATCCATAAGAATTTCCTCTACGCGTTCTTCCCAAGAAGAAAGATAGATTAAATTAAACAGATATTAGCCTGTAATTAATGCATGCACTTATTTATTACGTTTTAATTCCATAAATATGAATTACTTCTCCAAAGTTAATTAAGCCGCCTTCCTCGAAGAGAGAGAGAGAGAGAGAGAGAGGATGATTTATATGAATGAGAAGGAAATCTCTCATCTCTCTTTCCCAACAAATTTCCTCCATTAGTCAGTCTCCAATGGATACTGATAATGATGATATTCTTCAAAGCTTTATGTCATGGCCTTTCTTTGAAGATTCTTTCATTGATCTAAGTCCTTTCACCATGACTGACTTTGAAGATAACTCTCTCATGGATTTTGCACCTCCTTTCTTCAAGTAGGTTTCAACAGTAATTTTTCTTATTTTTTTGTGATTTTTTTTAGATCTCTCTCTCTCTGAAATAGATTAATATAATAAATAAATAATCGGTCTTTTTTTATGGGTTTAGCAGCGGTTCCTATGATCTTCTGCCTCTTCCTGAAAGCTTGGAGCATAAAGCTATCCCTCTATCCTGCCTTCCATCACTTCCGGATCATCAGAAGCTCCATTGCTCCGAAGAAATCATGAAATATTACACAGAAGCAATGCCACTAAGCGCAGTGACAATCTCTCCTCAAACATTAATAGAAGAGAATGCAGAAGGAGAAGAAATAATGAGAAAGGAACTGAAGAGTTCAAGAGGGAGGAGGAATAGGGGCTCAGGGAAAGGGTCGATGAGATCTTGCGATATAGAGTTGAAGGAAATAAGAGCTTACTTCCATATGCCTATAACTAAAGCAGCCATGGAAATGAATATTGGGTTGACAGTGCTTAAGAAAAGGTGCAGAGACGTCGGTATCACAAGATGGCCACATCGCAAGTTGAAGAGCTTGATCACACTCATCAATAATATTCAGGTAGTTTTCTCTAATCTTTCAATCCTTCAGGTTTAGCGTGGAATTTTAATCTTTCACTTGCAGATTTTTGTTTCTGTAAGCATAGAAAAATGTTAAATAATGCTGAAAATTATTTCATATTATTCTGAAGGAGATAGGAAAGAGTTCAAGTGATGTGAACATAATGGAGGAGCTGAAGTCATTGGAAGAGTACAGAAAGCTAATGGAAGAGAATCCTGAGATTCAGCTAACTAATGAAACCAAGAAGCTTAGGCAGGCTTGCTTCAAGGCAAATTACAAGAAGAGGCTGGCAATGCATGCAATGTTCCTGCCTGCAGCCTATTCAAAGGATTTCTTCTAGTTTTTTTTTTCATATTGTATTACTATTATATGAGGAAAAATCTTGGTTGATTGTCTATAGACATGAAAGAAATTAGCAAGAAATTGATCTTAAATTTTTGCTTTTATTACATAGGATTTTAAGCTTTCTTTTCATTTTGTTTTTTTTTTTCTTATTTTATTTTTTTTTTATGAAAATGCATTTCATTTAGGTGTTTGTGTGCGTTATTGCTCCATTAATGAAGGCTTCATTTGGGACTAACTTTTTGTGATATAAACATTTTAATTTTTATACAAAAAATTATTTTAAAAAATAGTAAGAGAGTCGTCACAAACGATGGACAACTTTTTTAGTGCTTTCTAACAAAGTTTTTTAGTAAAAAAATTTCTTAAATTCAAAATTTTTACACTAAAAATTTGCTATATAAGGCACCAACGAAGTCGTCCCAAACGAAGCTTAAGTCTTCATTGATTTTTAGAATTTGAAATTGTTTGATCGTACATTATCTAAAAATTTTGACGAAATATTTATTTAAGCTAATACTTTTAAAGATTTTGATTAAAATTGAGGCTTAATATTAGAGAAATCTTTGACCAAAAAGTTATGTTTTAATGACAAGAAGCCTGATTTATACTACTACAACAACAACGAAAACAAATCTTCATGATACCATATGAGGTCAACATAAATTATTTTCTCTTTTGTCTTTTAATAAGAGTAGAATTCTCATTTAAATCTAATAAAACAATCATTTTTAATATTTATAATCAAATCTTTTTGGGTCTACCTCTACTCTAAAAAATATATAATAAAATAAATTTTAAAAGTAATTTATTGATAAAGTTGATAAACAATTAATATAAAAATATTGATAAAATTTTAATGACAGTTTAAAACAATTTTTAAAAATATTGATAAGATAAAAATATATAATACACCTTTAGTTTCAATTTCAAAAGTAAGATTAATAAATTATAAATTAATTACTCAACATATAATTATAACTTAAATGCTTTTATAATCATATGTTTAGTGGTTATTATATAATTTTTTAATCTTATATTCGTTGATTATTTAGCATATAATTATAACCAAAATGCACTCCTACCTCGCTATTTTTCAAAGCTGTGTACTTTTTTTCTTTGAGATTTTCTATATGAATTAAAATCAAGCTCACACACATCATCATCTATAAACTTCAAATTTAAAATATCTTAATAAATAGCTTAAACTCTCTACGAATAGATCAAGATGGACTACATCAAAAATATATACTCGAGTTTAACACAGTAGACAATTGTGTGCTACAATTAGGGGTGTCAAGTGAGCCAAGCAGGCTTACGAGCGGGCTCAATCCCGATTCTCTAACAAGGCAAGTCGAGCTCATCAAATCACAATTTCATGCTCCAGCTTATACTCGAGCTCATATATTAAATAATCTCGAGCTCAAGCCTGACTTAGACTCACAAACTTGTTGATCCGCTCACTTAAATTAAAATGTATTTAATAATCAATTTAAATTTAACACAATCTAGTAAAATTACCAGGCTCTGTTACAACAATAGAGGTACACTGTCCGGGCGGCATTTACTTCACAACTGCACCTTTCCTCATTTTATCTTCCCCAACCTAAAGAAAAGGAAAAAGGCTCAGCGGAATTACTTCAATACTGCAACGGCCTAAATACTTCTTCTATACATGAGAGCTTCTTAAGAAGTAACTATTCGACAGAGAGAGATACTAAAACTATCGAATTTGGCCATTTTAGATGTATTAGCTCGCAGGAGTTGCACTGAAATAATAATATGCTTCAAAGAATGGGCAGATCTCTCTGAACTGCAACCAAACGAAGGACAGTTTCAAAGACTGTACAAGCTCAAGTTTGTAAAATATGAGCCATTATAGAGCAGCATGGGAGCAATTAGTTAATGGACAATAGCATATGTGCAGGTGATGGAAGGACCAGCTTCAATATTGCAAAAAATGTCTTTCTTCTAAGATTTTGGAGAGTTGCCCGTACAGAAGTTGTTGCTCTTCCAGGCTAAGGTTTCTCAAAATCTGCAAAATCATTTAAATTGGTCTCAGCACAGAGGTTTGAAGAAAGAATGCAAAGACAAATGCAGCAGAAGAGAAGCAAAACCTGGTTCAGAATCATCTCAACGGAAAAGTTCTGAGACATGATGAAGGATTGGTAGTATATGTATGCAAACACGGCTATGACCATCTAATAAAGAAAAAAAGAATAATAATAATAAATTGGTTATGTAATTAAGAAGGAATTATAAAATTATAGAATTGGTATATCTAGACTAATAAAAACAATAACTGTAAAAATATCAATTACATAAACAGAGAATACGCCAGACATTCCACTTCAGGGTGGCTTAAAAATCTTTAATTGGTTTTGGGTATATAACAAAGAGAAGATGTACCGATTTAGTAAATGGAATTAATATGAAAAGTTTACAGGAGAATTCATATGGCTAGGTGTTATGCAAAAAAATTCGTAATGCTATACTTTACGAAAATGATTACACCAACAACATCAAATCTTTACCACACTGTGGGGTTGACTACATGAATCCTTTTTTTTTTCATTGTGTCAAGTTAAGAGTCTAATTCTCATTCAAATCTAACAAAAAAATGTCATTTCTAATATTTTCTAACCAAGGTCTTCCTCTACCTTTCTTAACACAAGTCAAAATTAATACATCTATTTTCCTAACTGGGTCATCGAAAGGCCGCCATTTTATGTGACTGAATCATCTAAAATGGCTCTCTCTAATCTTATCTTCCATTGGAGCTACTCCAACCTTTTCATGTATATCCTCATTTTGTATCCTGTCTCTAAGAGTAAATTCACTCATTCACCGGAGCATCCTCATCTCTGCAACACTTAACTTAATATTATGCTTCTCTTTTAATAGCTAACATTCTGCACCATAAAGCATTGCAAGTCTCACCACCATCTTATAGCATTTTCTCTTAAGTTTGAAGGGCATTTTTCTTTCACACAACAAGCCCAATGCATTCCTCCACTTCAAGCATCCAACTCAAGGTTTAAAATTGCGTAACTGCGCCTCGAGGCGGTTTTCGTCCGTGAGGCGAGGCGTAAGGCTCGAGGCGGTCTGAGGCGTAAGCCTCACGAACACAGAATTGCGTAAATGAAAAATTAAGGATTTTAGCAGGAAAATAATAGCAATAGTGGAAATCAATAAATATCATATGTAGATCCTCTCTCTATACTTCTTCATCAAACCTCGTAATAAATGAGTAGCTTCGTGAACCCAAATTGATTTTAAGAAACATTAGTATCATGCCGCAACCCATGCTTCATAACTCTCTCTCATAGTTTTAAAGTATGACACATTAACTTAATTCCTCCATAGGGAAAAATCAAGAGGTGGAAATGTTGGGGGAAGAAGAGATGCCACCTTTGGAGCCACTTCCAAGGAGAGGAAATGGTGGAGTAAAACTTTTAGAGGAGTTGCAGAATTTGGAAGGAGAAAAAGATGGGGAGAAGATAGAAGCACACATGATTCTACCACCTCTACAATAGTATTGAGGGATGTTCGAGCAAGTTCAAGGGTTGAATCCTTCGCGGGAAGATATATCGCGGGAACGCGAGTATGTTCATCTTGAAGGAAGGAGTCTCACCTATCAGTGTTCGTCTATACTGCAATCAACAAATCCAGAATGAAGAGATTGAGAGATTAATCAAGGAGATGCTCGAGGCAGAGGGATCGCTCGACCCAATGTCAGTCCATTTTTAAATCCAGTGCTATTAGTCAAGTGCTTCAATAGCAGTTTCATTCATTCCATCTTGAGGACAATGTGACATTTTGGGAGTAGAGTATTGATTGGCTAGCTAATTTGATTGGGAGAGAATTAAGAAGCTTCCTAATCGAGAGGGAACTATTTAGAAAGGTTCTTAATCAAAGGGAAATAATTAGGAGATGTTTCCTAATTGAAAATAGAATATTTGGGGGTTGATTTGGAGGGGATTATTTAGAAAATATTTTATAATCGAAGTGGGGGCTGATTTGGAGGGGATTAATTAGGAGATGTTGCCTATATGAATAGGGTGGATTTGAGATCTGATTTGGGGGCTGGCCGGTTTAGAGGGGAAATAATTAAGAAAATATTGCATATTTGGGAGGGAATTATGGAAGGGTTGTTTGGGTATTTGTTGTTTATTGTTTGTTTGCTTTAAGTAGGATGTTTTTCTAGGTTTAGGGGTAGGTCTTGTTTGCTGAAATTGTATTATTTTTAAGGTGTTTAGGGCTCTAGCGGCGTCCATAAATTTGGGAGAGCCGGAACATCCCCTCCAATTGAAGATCTAAATCTATCTTGTCTTTTCTTTCATATAAAATCCAATAAAAAGTGTTCTTGAGTGTTATTCTTCTTTGTTTACTTGTTACAAATTTCTATTTTGCTAAAATTGTAAATTTAGCCAAGGAATTTCACAAGTTCTGCATCCACTTCCTAACACATTTTCACACCTCTATTGAAATATCATCAAGTCCAATAGCTTTTCCACATTTCATTTTCTTTAAAGCCTCTCTAACTTCGATTTTACAAATACGCCGACAAAAAGTAGTTGTAGCCAACCAATTATTATCACATTCCATAGAATCTCATTATAAGAATGGTATGAACGAGCTTATCATTTATTGAGGTTCTAAAATGCATAATTAGTAGTATCAGCAAAAGACTTTGATACACTGCATGATATCATCCCCTAAGTATAATGAAGTAGCTTTGATACTAATTTGTTACAATAGAAGATTCAAATCAACGCTCTTTGTGCCACAAAGAGCAATAGGACTAATCTAGGATAAGCCAATATTAGCACAAAACACAAATATGATAAAGAATAATTAAGAAACAGTGCACATAAAATGCCGAGATTTATATGGTCCGGCTAAAAATAACCTAAATCAAAAGGGCCGAGAAGACTGACACATATCCACTATCAAATGTATAGATTATGGAAGTAGAACATTAACAAAGAATACAAAATCCTCTTCTAAGTTAGATAACAAGAAGAAGAGATTATTTAACTAAAACTCGGTGCAACTTTTCTTAAAGAAAGCCAAAAAAAAAAAGAGATTAAATTCTAACCAATCTCTAAGCAAGAGAACAATAACCAATTGACCAACTCTTCAATTGGGTGGTTGAAAGAAGAATTCACATAGCCGCAAAGTCCCCTTAGCTCTTTTTCATGGCCCGGAGGAAAATTCAACACTCACACCTAATCATCTCGATAGCAAAAGTCAACTTAACCCAATGCCGATCACAATTCCCGCTCAGAACAAGTCCTTGAGCCATCCAATTCAATACATAAGAAATTGGACTTCATTTACATAAAGTAATAACCTAAATACCGTTCATGCTCTGATATATGACCAACATAGTTTCGCTGATAGTGGGGTTAAATTATAAGGCATTGTGTTCCAGAGCCGGCCCAGGAGGGGACAGCTGGACCTGTCCAGCCTGGACCGGTCCAGGTCTACACCCGGCGGAAGAAACAGCAGGGAGGGGGCGGAACCTTGGGTGGGCCCCATGCTGGGCTTAATACAAATTTTGAGGGGAAAGATTTGAATGTAAGGGTAGATTAGGTAAGTGTTAATTCTCCTTTCATGTTAATTAGGGGGAATAGGAGGGATTGAGGGATTATCTTGAATTTGAATTGTGATTTGAGATCTAGGTTCTTGCTTTGGGCTCTTGGCGTTGCCGGAGATTTGAGAGTTGTTCTTCCTCTCGGATTGAAGAACAAATTGTATCTTTGCTGTTTTATTCATCGTCTAGTGGAATACAAGCTTTTCTTTGAGTTTTCTCTCAGATTTCCCTGGATTAGTGCTGTTTTTCTGCCGTAAACAGCAGATTTCTGCTGTTTTCTTGTTCTGGACAGCAATATTTTCGCTGTTTGATCTCCGATTTGGGTTAAGGTTGCTTGCAAACTCAAGTATTACCTTAGGGTTACTTGCGAACTCAAGTATTTCCTATCACATGTTCCTGCTAGTAGGGATGGATATAAGAACTACAAAATGAAGGTGATAGCAGGGTCAAATTAGAAGGCATTGTTCCGGCTAGGGATGAACTCCAGAATAAAAGGCAATGTAACAATGCTAACTACGCGGTGGGCTCCGAAAATTCGGCCCCGGCCTCCGC